AGTTACAGTTACATGTTCCAGTTACAGACATGTAATAGATTACAGCAGGCAGTTACAACACTGGGAATCCATCTCGTATGATCTACTGGCCCCCTTGCTAATCCTCACTTCTACTTCCTGCTGCCGTTCACTCTTCCTGCTCTTTCTTCAGATTATTTTAATCCCATTTTGGTCCTAAACAGCCTTTTACATCACACACACACACACACACACACACACACGCACGCACGCACGCACACACACACACACACACACACAGAGGCTACCCCTCGTGGACAAGTGACTTTCTGACCTTTGACCTCTTGGATCTTGAGTTTTGAACCCCGACTAGACTGACAGCGAGGGACTGAAACGGTCAGCCCCCCACCCCCACCCCCCACAAAATACTCCACAGGCTACACAATCTCAGGGTGATGCCTCAGGTGCCAGTAACCCACCTGGTCTTGTGAATCCTCTTCGGCTCACCCTCCACCTATAGGACAGCTTTGCTGGGAGACTCAGACAGTTTCAGTGTTTCAGGTGTCAAATTAGCTTGTTAGGTGCAATGCTGTGAAAATGATAAACATAACTATACTGAACATCTTCAGACGCTCAAACCGGATTGATGTGAGAGGACACAGAAAAAGAACTTATAATCTAACTGGACTAATTAAAATATTTTATCTTCTTTAGAGGTTCAGTCAGAATAATCCTAATTGGATTCAGGGAATCGATCATTTCTCAATCATTTATCAACTTAAAGTTTTTTCTGTATCATTAATATTATTTCCATGGCTTCAGGTAAATATTAGCTGTTGCTTGTTGACCCAGACAGAGAAAACATTAAAAAACTAAAGCAGAGGACATCGTCCCTGAGACTTCCTGTCCATGTGCTGACCTGAATGAGGAGTTCACCCCCAGACAAAAACCCTTTCAGGTTTTCGCCTGATTGATGCAGGGATTTTTAGTTTTTAGAGCCTTCGAGGATCTTAACTCCAGTTTTGTCCTTTGATCAAACATCAAGGGAATTGAGTTGCTAAGTACCTTTTCTGAATTGACCTCTCTCATTACCCTCCTCTTCTTCACATCGTACCAACGTGAAGAAACAAGACAAACACCTGGGATCGGACACAGTTACAGTTTACCCGCTCCAGTGCTGCATTTTCATTCCCGTCACACAGCCGAAGCATCCAGTCTTCTACATAAATAAATAAATGAAGGCCTGGAGCCGAAGGGCCTCAGAATAACGCTGAAGGACAGATCTAACCTTCTGAATAAATAGTCTGTCTCCGTCACTGTGTGGAAATGTCCTCCCATTATCTTCTTGTATTATTCCTTTTAGCTGCATCGCGTTTAAATCAGCAGTGAAATTACAGTAGTTACAGATCAGTGTTGTGAACAAGGATGGACCTATATGAACACACTGGTCATGGCAACACTTTTAGCTTCATTGGCGAGCCAGTTGAGCCGGGCTTTTCCTGCTGGAACGTGACATCCTGCTCCTTGACATCGCCACACAAACATGTACATAGGGCCTTGGGGTATGGGTAAGTCAGGGGGTGCGGGTATGGTTCCCATGTCCACAGTCCCATGGCGGCTTGCACCCCAATTTAAATTTGCACATTAAACACTTCCGCCAATGACTCCATACAAATACACACTTAGTGCCTTGGAGGTGAGCACACTCAGCGGCACCTGGTGGTGGTGGGGAGGGATCTCTCAGCCTCACCCCAAGTGCCGGTGCCCACTTCCATTTTTAAGCTGCACTTAGTCACTGAGGGTTCTGGGGGTATGCAGGGTTGTGTGGGGGCGTCAGCTGGTGTAGGCCAGACAATCCTGTCCCCCCCACCACAGAATGAACTTAAACATCAACACCACGTTGGAGCTGATGGAGGAAGACCAGGGGTCTTATCACACCTCTGTTCTCAGTTAGCTCTCCGGGGCCAGAGGTTAGGAGTGGGAGCTGGTCATCTGGGTGGGGTCTGAGGTGGTGTGTCACTTTGCTCTGTGTTGGGCGAGACCTGCTGGGTACTGGGTACCTGTTCATCATTGGGAATTGGGCTTCTCTGGCGGCTGTCTCCCTGGGGTTCCTGCGGTGCAGGTAGACCCTTGGATCTCTAGGGCTTGGCATGTTAAATCTCATCTCCGTGGTTCAAGTTGGTTCAGCATACAAAAACGTTCATGTATCCGTCGGTCCCCTCCTCTTAAAGAGGGAGACGCACAGGAACAACCTAAAAATGACAAATGTTAGCCTTTTAAAATACTGACATTGTGCTTATTAAAATCAGACGTTGCCCTTTGGTTCAACACAATAATAAGTGTTAAAAACTAGGCTGGAAGCCCTGGAAACTTGCTGTGGAGGGAGGGCCTGGGAGGAGCTGGTGGAGGTTTCTTAGGAGGAGACGGAATGGGCTTCCTCACAAAGAAAACACACACATACCAGAGCAGCCCCTTAATGGCCTGCTTCTCAAGTCCCAAAAGGCGATAAGTGAATTTTAATTGAGAGAATATTAAATATTGTAATAAATTAAGGTAATGACCTGAAAATGGTTTTGCTTCTCCATGAAGAGGGAGGACAAGCTACAGCGGCTTCACTGGTGACCAGAGAAGTGTGTGTGTGTGTGTGTGTGTGTGTGTGTGTGTGTGTGTGTGTGAGTGTGTGTGTGTGTGTGTGTGTGAAGACATTCCACAGATCAGTCCATTTCTCCTGTTAGTGTGATAATCCTTATTGTCACGTTTGAACCTTGTCATCCCGTAGCCGTCTCCCCCATCAGCAGCTCTCTCAATGTTTGGTTTTCTCCTCAGTTTCTGTATCTGTGACCAAATTCAACAGTTAATTGTCTTTATGTTTGATTTGAAGTAAATAATTACATATGGTTATGTATTTAGTGTGTGTGTGTGTGTGTGTGTGTGTGTGTGTGTGTGTGTGTGTGTGTGTGAGAAAGAGAGAGAGAGAGACTTGTGCCAACAAAACTGGGCAGCAGATTGTGGTGATTTTCAGCCAGCTGGTTCTCTCTCTCTTTCTCTCTCTCTCTCTCTCTCTCTCTCTCTCTCTCTCTCTCTCTCTCTCTCTCTCTCTCTCTCTCTCTCTCTCTCACACACACACACACACACACACACACACACACACACACACACACACACACACACACACACACACACACACCCTGGCTCCCCAGCTGCTCTGCCAGCCAATGAGAGAGGCTGTGAGACACGGTGGTGTTTAACGACACGCGGTGTCTGCTGTAAATGAAAGCATATGCTAGCTAGCGGACCATGTGCCAGTCCCACGCTGTATGCACCATGTTGGCAGGCGTTCCCGGCTGCTGGGGATCAGGAAGTGTGTTGTAGGAATTAGTTGAGCTGGTCAGGTTTGGCAGGTGTGATGGTGCTGGAACAGGACTGATGGTCTTAGTTCTGATGGGAGAACGGGTCATGGCGTCCAATACTCGCGTACGAACGTCTGGTACGAGTGGTGTTCTGGAAGTTTGTACCAGCCTAACATGAGCTGGACGTGTTTCCTCTAACCAGCTAATCGCCAGACCTGTTTGCAGTTTGGATTCTGTCCAGTCACTGAATGAGAGTCGCTGGTAACAGTAGGAGAAACTACAGCGCTCCTGAAATCTGGTCCATAACCAGAAAGCCACTTGTGCCCCGTGGAGGAGGAGTGGGTTCTTCTGTGAGTCACCTTTTCTCCACGTTCCCTGCTGTAAACAACAATCTGTTCTTAACACTTTTCAGGTGTTTCTCATGACCTTTTGACTCCCCAGGGATGTTTGTTATCACACAGCCTGCTTCTTCCACACCACTTAGTGCATTATCCTGTCAGCACAGCTGATAAGCTGGAACTACACACTACTGCTCTTTTCTCCTGACAGATGGGTTTCCTGCTGCTGCAGACAAATAGCTTCATCCTTCTGGTGTCATCTGAAGTCGTTAACATCGTCTGAATCCGTATCTGCAGCAGCATTAATGCTGACTTCAGAGGGTGATTTTCTTTTTGGGACTCTGGTAGTTTGTCCTCAAGTAGACGTGGTAGCAGCCGGCTGTTTCCCCTTCTCTCTGGGCGGGAGGAGCTCGGCAGGTAGAGGGGTTGTCCAGTAATCAGAAAGTTGTAGGTTCAATCCCAGCTACCTCCAGAGAATGCTGCTGTTGTGTCCTTGGGCAAGCCCGCCTTATTTGACCAGATGAGTGGATGGAGAACTCATTCTGATCTCCAACGATGATCTGGCCCAGAGGCAGCAGCACGTAGTTAGCTTTACACCAAAGAACAACAGGTAAGAAGATAAAATAACAGTCAGATATAAAGACATTGTTCTCATATGTAACAGGAACACTAATCAGAAACTATTGATCACCATGAATTATTGAAGGTAGGTGATGGGATGTAGGTAGTGTGCTTCAGTGGTTTCTGCAGCTCAGGGGTTAAACCACGCGAGTGCAGGATTTTAGAAATGTCATTTTGACAAATACCTGACAACCTCAGCACCGACATGAACCCCAGACTGGAAACCATAGCTTTAGCTGGAGCAGACCCAGGAAATGAGCTGCATTTATGAGAAGTAACATTTAGCAGATCTGAGTGGAGATCTGGTGGCCCTGATCACCCCGGTGAAGATCCTCCCACCAGATGATTGTCCTTCCTTTAGATTTCATCATGTTCAGGCTTTCCGTAAACAAACTGGTGCTGGAGGCTTGTGATGCCTTTCTGCTTGATGTCAAGTTAATTATTACATATAATTAAGTATTTAGGGTGTGTGTGTATGTGTGTGTGTGTACGAGTGTGTAGTGAGAGTGTATGTGTGTGTGTGTAGTGAATGTGTGTGTGTGTGTGTGTGTGTGTGTGTGTGTGCACGTGTGTGCGTGTGTGTGTGAGTGTGTAGTGAGAGTGTGTGTATGTGTGTGTGTAGTGAATGTGTGTGTGTGTAGTGAGTGTGTGTGTGTGTGTAGTGAGAGTGTGTGTTTGTGTGTTTAGTGAATGTGTGTGTGTAGTGAGTGTGTGTGTGTGTGTGTATGCGCATGCGTGTGTGTGTGTGTGTGTGTGTGTTAAAGACAGCACATAGTTCAGAAGATGTGATGCTGAGAAGATAAACGAGGATTTCCTTCCAAGAAAGAAGGAAAAAGAAAATTTGACATATTTTCCAAACAGAAGAAACTCTGAGATGATTGCTGCTGATTTCCAAAGCCCGAATCTGTGGAAGAGGGTTTATTTCCACAACACCACCTTTCATCATGCAGTCATCTATACTAATTTGGAACCATATTGAAATGAACCCCATCCATCATGACACCCAACAGCCTAGCAAGCATCCAGCTAGCTGAAACACGAGTGGGAAGAATTTCCTTTATTGAAGTTTATCCGTCATAAACCATGAGGCTGCTCTGCTTCTGCCACTTCAGATCCTATTCTGTTGAGATGAAACCACAAAGGTGACTGATTAGGTGTTAACTGGATGGAGCATCTAGCTGGGCTTTGCCTGGCCTGGTCAGGTCTTTCTGGTGTAGAAAGTCCACAGTTAGCTCCCCTTGCTCTTCACCATCGAGCACCAAAGCTTCTCATGAAACACTTGTGTTTTTCATCATGATAGTAGTTAATCAGGGTCCTGGGTTAAGAGCTGTGGTTGTGTATCCATTTTGTGCACACGGGTGTGGGTTTGGTTTTTCCCTAACCCATCACAACATCTGTGTCATGCTGTGTGATAGAGTTGTGCCAGTACAGGACCTAGGTCGCAGTGGAAAGGTGGACAGACTACAGTCTTCAATGAGATACCAGAGCCGTGTCCAGGACTATTAAAATGGGGTGGCCCATGTGGGGCACTTGTTTATTTATGGGTGGCACCAATGGATATGCTTATTTATTTATTTACACAAATCGTTTATTTATTTATTTGCTTTCTAGTGAATTTTTGAGTTTCACATTACACAATCACCATATTTTTTTTCCTCTTCATCTTCTACTTTTGTGGTGGTTAGCAAGTCACTTCTTGTTGCATTACTGCCACCAACTGGAGTTGAGTGGGATTCTAAATACTATGTATGTGAGTATGAAAAAATATTAATAGTAATATTAATACTACACACCTGGGCTAGAAAACAAGGTGAAATGTGCATGCAACCACACACTATTTTGGAGTTTACAACTCAAGCCTTTTGTCGACAATGTACAGTCAATTTAAACGGGAACTTAGTGGGGTGGCACCTGGGGTGGCCAATCAGATTCTAAGGGTGGCATGTGCTACCCCAGGCCACTCCCTGGACACGCCCCTGTGAGATACGCTGTTTAGTTTCCCCGATGTGAAGATTTGGACAGTCCTCTACGTTAGACTGCACAAACAACACCACTGGGCTTCTGTGTGGGTGGACCCGTTTATGTCTGAGGGTGTTGCTGGGCTTTAGATTACTGGGATGCTCAAAGAAGATTCTTCTAAGTTTTCTGAGACTCCTGCCACACATGGGATGATGGTGCCTTTGCGCCTGTGGTGCGCGGTGGAAGAAGGAAATCCTACAAACCTGTTTAACGTGGGATTTGACCGACATGTCAAAGGTAACACTGAGGTTCTTTTCTTTGTTCCCCACAGCTGATTTAATGTTGCTTCAGATCAGGTGGTTGACTTTACTTTACAGAACACTTGTGACTGACTTTAGTCTAAGAAAGTCAAAAAGACACTTTCCTCTTGTGCACCCTGCCTTACAGCCGACTCCAGCAGCTGGCTGGTGGGAACATCTCCATGTCTTTTGCAGGATTCATGATTTAAGTGTAGTCACACATTTTACTCAGAACCATTGATAAAAGCCATCTGGATCTTTACAGCTCCAACTGAACTCAGACTAGCACTTTGTGATAATAATAACTGTCATTATTATTTAATGCACTCTGTTTAGATGGCCACGTGAATGGAGTTATGCTGGTGAAGGTTCACAGTCATCCAGGGCATGGTGGTCCAGTTTTGGATGAATGGATGTGTTTCTTGCTCGTTTTATGATCTAGCTTCAAATCTTTGAAGATGACAAAGAGGGGCACTCGGAGTAGTTTCTGCTCATTAAGCAACAACAGACAGCTACAGCCTATAAGCCTGACTCCCATATTCCAGTCAGAACTGACAACGCTCCTCGGAGGAGAAGAGAACGTCTCCAAGAAACTAAAGAAGTCCAGCTGCCTCCATTTGAACCTTCTGGATTACATGAGTGTAATTCCATAGCTACAATAAAACAACCCAACAGTGTTTATAAAGTCAACACCTTGTTTTTCATGAAAAAATGAGTCTTTATGAATGAGTGAATCAACTCTGAGGTTCTCTGCTCCTCTGACGGAGCTAAAGGAGGAGGAGGAGGAGGAGGAGGAGCGGCTGGATGGATGCAGACTCCTGTTCTCTGGACCACGGAAGCCTTTAGGAACCGGAGGGGGAGGAGTCTGGAGCGGTGTGTCACCGGCACCGGGACCGGAGAACCTCGGACCCTGGAACACCTCACCGGCAGCGTCAGATCCGTGCGGCGGCAGGAGGAGCTGCTCCGTTACCCGCGGCTTTAGGAGGATTTAGGAGATTTACCTCCACTGTTCACCTGTTCAGGAGGAGAGCGGCTCGGCTCGGCTCGGGGGAACCGAAGCGAGCCTGTAGAACGGAACGGCACGTTTCCAGGTAGGAGAGCGTTTTCACAATTAGACAAGTTGAGGTGAGGCGCGCGCTCCAGCCACTCGCTGCACGCGCCTGTTGGTGGAAGGTGATGAGTGTCGCGCGGACTTTGATGTTGAGGACAGGAACTCGGCTAATGATGCTACACGAGACATGCTAGTGACACGGGGGTGCGTGCGCGAGCACTGCGTGTGCGTGTCTTCAGAAGACTGTAGGTAATGTGTGACAGGAGCAGCTCACCTGTGAAGTCTACCTGAGTTTAGAGGCCCCTCCCCCTCCCAGATGGAGTTCAGAGGTTCTGAGTCAACTTCAATAAAACTAAAAGCCCCTGCAGAAGGAGCTGTGATCTGTGTCTGGACCCGGAACAGGTTCTGGAACTGGTGGAACAGGTTTTGGTGGAGCATCTTCTGGATCCAGTAGAGCAGGATCTGGAACTGGTGGAACAGGTTCTGGAGCCAGTAGAGTAGGATCTGGAACTGGTGGAACCAGTTCTGGAACCAGTAGAGCAGGATCTGGAACTGGTGGAACCGGTTCTGGAGCCAGAAGAGTAGGATCTGGAACTGGTGGAACAGGTTCTGGAACCAGTAGAACAGGATCTGGAACTGGTGGAACAGGTTCTGGTGGAATATGTTCTGGAACCACTAGAACAGGGATGCAGCACCTGCAGAAGCTGAAGGTCTGCTAGGTCCCAGAAACAACCGTGGGGCCCAACAGAGCCCACGCTTCAGCTGACCAGTGGTTCCACCATACCGGGTGTTATCTGTGTGTCAGCACAGACTCGCTCTGGCCCTTTGAGTGTGTGCATGGGGTCAGCCGAGGCTCTCCGACGCCAGCCCCAGAGGCCACAGACCCAACGTGAGCAGCAGACAAACGTCCGTGTCCCTTTCCCCTGAGCTGTCCATGTGTGGGCCGGTGGAGGGTCCAGTGCCGCCCGCCGGCTGCTGCTCCACCTGAGGCGGGCCTTTTAAGTAAGGCTGCTGAGGGATGAGAGATGGAAGATCCATTTCACACTCTGACGATAACATCTCCGCCTGATGTTGAAAAATCAAGTGTGTTGTGATGAAAGGGAAAGTAAAGGCCTTTCCATCTCCCTCCTGTACAGTCATCCAGTCCGACAGCATGTGTGAGAGGGACGTCTGCAAAGCCGAAGTGTTGTAGGCATCCTGATGTTCTGACGACTTGGAGCACCAGCGTTATGGTGTCACCATGCATTTATCTGTAGGGAAGCCAGCTTTGTGCTTTTAGACCACTGTAGTTGTGAACTGGGTCTAAATCTAAGTAAACATTGATGTTTAAGGTCCAGGCTGGAAGTTTATTTGTTTACATGTAATAAAAAGTTAATCATCATCATCATCATTTATTTATTTTCAACATGCCAATAACATCACTATTAACAACAGGATATAAATCAATAATAAACCTCACAAGATAAATCAATAATAAATCAAGTTGACTTTGTTGTAGGCATGTTCGACAGGGAGTGGGCAGAAGCCAACCTTATTCAAGCCCACCCCTATTTTTCACTAATAATTTAACTGTTAGTAAGTAGAAAAAGCTCAAATTCAACAACCTTTTGACCAAAGAAAATCATAACAATAATAATAATGGTAGTCTAGACTATTTAACAATTCTTGTCAATATCATTAATTATATATTCCCATACACCTTTACTCACATCATCGCTCATTTGTAATGTATTTTAACCAAACTGTTCTTCTGTAGTGTGCTTTAATAATCTGAATATTTTGACATTGTGATCAGTCTTTAAGTTATTCCATATTTTAATCCCACACACAGACACACAAAAGCTTTTACGTGTTGTTCGCACCAGTGGTAATTTCAATATTTTATCCCTCCTTAGACTATGTGACAGCTCTTTAATTATAACTAGCTTTTGTAAATTATTTGGTAGAAGTTTATTAAATGCTTAGAAAAGAATTTGAACTGTTTGATATTTAATTATATCCTGTAATTTTAATAATTTTGATTGTAAAAAAAGTTGTTTTGTGTGTTCCAAGAATCCAGCCTTATTTATGATTCGGACCGCTCTTTTTTGCAATATATAAAGAGGCTGTAAGGAGCATTGATAATTATTCCCCCATACCTCAGCACCATAAGCAAAATAAGGGAGAACTAAGGAGCAAAACAATACTCGAAGTGTGTTGCAATCAAGAAATGACTTGGCTTTATTTATTATCGATAGACTTTTTGAGACATCGGACATTTTTGTTTTGATGACAAATAACAACAAAGTGCATACAAATATTTGGATGACTTGATCTTTTCAAGTCAACTCATTTATTATTCCGAGTGTCATTCCTCTCTTCGTAACGTCATGTTTGGCTAATGCTAAGCAAGGAAATTTGCCTGGCTACTAACAGAGGGTCGTACAATAGCATAAAGAACCCTAACATCTCAATAAGAGGAGGAAGACAACCGTAGGAACCATATGACGGACCAGAGCAGGGTTTAATCCTGCCATGGGCCTGAAAACCAACCAATGACTATTATTATTTCTTGTGAGAAGACAGAAGCCTGCTGACAGTGGTGGTGTCAGGGTGGTGCTGGATTTGGTCGTAACTACCTACACGCCTAGATCCTTCATGGTGGTGATCAGACCAGAGAAACCACATGAAAGCTTCCATCATGGACACAATACCATCTAAACGTAGAGCCGTAGGTCATCCTGCTTCTGACAACTCCACGCACAGCGGGTTTACTCATCACACCAATCGTCCGCTGGTGTTGTGTCTGGAGGAAGGTCATGCTTATGTAGCTGCTGGTAGTCAGATAGGTGAAGGCCCAAAGGAAAGGGTTGAGATCACGTATGAATGTGAGTCTTTGTTGTTGCGATCCCACAGCAGCAGAAGATCTCAGCTGGGATCTACGATGCACTGTCTTTGTCACTTCTCTGCAGCCTTGACCCTCCGACCCAGAATAACTGGAACTCCGGACGTTAATTAGCGTTGTAAGTCAGCCGGTCCTTCAGGAAGTCGCGTCTTTCCCAGGAGGGTGTGTATTGACCTCCTGACTTCTAAATCAAGTCTCTCTCACTAATATGGAGGTGAACATGTCGGTATGAACGTCAGCTCTAAGCTAGTGGTATAATAATGCTGATGTGTGTCACGCGGTTAGTCCCCCCCCAGGTGCTTACTTAGCACCAGGTGCACTGAGTCGGCTGAACTTCACTCACCTGATTATCTACTTTGGACAAGGACGGACATAATCCCCCCTCCCCTCCTTCTGGCTCTTGCATCATCTGTCTTTTCACGCCATTGTGTACCTGCACCTCTTACCTTCTGTGTTTCTTCCTCCTTGTCCTTTCTTTTTGATGTCCTCCAACTGACTCACGCGTTCTACTGTCTGTCTCCACGCCTGTGGGTATCTGACCAGCCTGCTGCTGGGCAGAGAGCCACTTGTCATGGCGGGTTTGTCATGCCAGGGTAGCTGATGGTAACGTGGGGGTGATGAGATGGCAGGTGGATGGCTTGCTGGGGGGGGGGGGGGGGGGTTGGGGGGGGGCACGTCACCATCCAAGCATTTGTTAAACCATTGTAAGTGATGCTGTATCACCCTAACTCTCTCACTGCCTAATCTGCCCTGCCATGTCCTGAGGGACCCACCGTGACTGAGTGAGCCTATGTGTTGGAGCAGAGAGGTGATGAAACAGAGCGAAGGAAAAATAGTTTTCTTGTGATTTATTTAGAAAATAGTTTTCTGATTTAGTCACAATGATGGATAATAAAGGAAAGAGACAAACAAATAATCTAGAGGTTTTATTAAAATGTTTTAGACATGGTCCAAATGGGTGTGTTACACTAACCCTGTTTTCCATGATGGCATTTTGAGTAATAAATCACATTAACTTGACAACATGTAGGCAGCTGATATTCCCTGACAGCTGAAGCTGCAGCTGCTTTCTAATTAGTGCTAAATCTGGCTTGAGTTAGGGTTTTCCTGCCTCAGGAAGTGATTGTTATGCTACAAAACTGGACTAGGATCCCATTTGCAGCCTGTAACCCGTTAAAGGAGATGTCCAGATTATTTCTGTTGTCTGATGGCACCACCTAGTGGCTGACAAGTGCATCACGCACGCCCAAAGCAACGCCTCTCATTGGCGAACGCGCTCTAGCCGACAAAACCGAGCTGTTTCCTAACTTATATCACAGTACACCAGGGGTCCTCAGTTATAATGGTCCGAGGGCCACACACAAAAAAGACCCACAAGCAAGAGGGCCGGGGAGGCCTGCCGCTGTTTGGATTGCTGGCTGTAAGAGCAGATAGGAATAAAGTGAAACAAGAACTTCTATATTCTTTTTCTCTCTCCTTTTAACTTCTCCGTGTCCATAAATAAAAGAGACGGATGATTACGCTGCAGCCGCCGTCACTCACCCCGCTCCCTCCCCAAGACCGGACCTCCCGACATCACAACACTCAGTCTGACTGAGCACTTCCAGGAGAAACAATAATGAAATTATGAAAATAATAATGAGTGTTTGGAGGAGCGACCTCCGATCCTCTCTCTTGTGTGAGCAGACAGTCAAACCCCCCCCTCTCTCTGTCTCAGTCACTGAGCGAGCGAGTAGAGCGCGCAGCGCGACAACCCGCTCAATTAACATAATTTACGGCCCAAATCCAACAGAACCGGTCGGGCTGATTCGGTTCCGGTTCGGTCTCAGGTTATAACTCCAGTGCTCAGCCCTGCAGTACCACATAAAGGTGGACCAAAGTTTCCTACCCGGTAAATGTGGAGAACACCACTCTGACAGATTTGGATGCTGCGCTGGTGCCGCCGTTAAAAATAACAAAACTACATTCCACTATAATTGATTATGATGGTACTCTTCTATGATGCACAACCGTTTATGTCCTCATCTCATGCATTGATTATTTGATTATTTTCCTCAGCTCTATCCTACACCTCCTGGTCGGCCGTCAGGAGTGGGGGGGTGCGTGGGGTTTGGGGGCCACAAAGAGAGGACTCGCGGGCCGGACGTGGCCCGTGG